AGGCACATATCGAAGGGCGCATCGTTCCACACACACACACACACACACACACACACACGAGGCTTGACATCTTAATCTTCCCTAGGGCACAAAGTACATGATTGTNGTCGGTGCGACGCCAACCTGTAGCATCGCCGCTGTTTGCACGCACACACACACACACACACACACACACACACACGAGGCTTGACATCTTAATCTTCCCTAGGGCACAAAGTACATGATTGTTCATAAAACTATGGATAGTTAGTGGGTGGGACGAAAATACACAACTATTTTTCATTTGAAAATCTCTTTTTTAAACATTGTTCCAGTCTTAAGTTCTGCATTACGATTGACAAAGTTTCCGTGATAGTGGTTCAGTACAGTTCATTTCGATCTTTTGCTGCCGTTTAGAGACGAAGTCAATATTCGTATTATTGAAGTCGAATTTAAGTGGTTCAATTCAGTTCTCATTGGGGTCAGAAATGTACCTTAGAGCTGTTGTTTGTCATCAATTCGATAACCCTATTTTAAGGTCACAAACGAATAGATCAGTTCAGCGGTAATTCTCGGTTTTGAACGCACGTGATTTTTGTTCAGTTCGCAGCGGTTGGTGAAAAATTCGGCAATCTCGATAGTCGATTGTAAAGAACGCACTCAAAGGGTGCAATCTTTGAACAAGTTCCGCAGCACATATCATCCCAGTGTCAATATGCTCTTAATGAAACCTGTCTAATGAACAGTCTGACTACTTGTGCTTTCTTTGGTCAATTTTGACCAATCTCCTGAAGGGTGAATGGGGTTCTCTCAGTCCACTTTTCAATTTTACCAATAATAAGACAAAGTCATGAACCGAGACATTTTGTAGCTCGACGATTTCTTTTTTTGTTGATTTAAAAGCGGCTTTCTACTGAGGTAATCACGGGGTACTCTGATGCTATCTCTGTTTCCAGTATATGCCCGGGAAATGTACTTTTCTATCTCATCGGAAGATTCGGCATGCATACGATAGATTCGATTAATGTTTGCGAACTTGAAAATGCTGTGGCGTCGCCGCGTTATCCGATTGTCCACGAAGGATCCGGAGTATGCTGTAACGGTTCGGTTCTTTAAACTGTATGGGGCACAGAGAGGGAGAGAGATCCGTTACGAGAAGAGGATAGAGATACAGTGCCGGTGTTCGAACACCGCTGGAGACACCGCATTGCACTGCTCTAGCAGGGTAAATCGATAAGCAATGCCAATGCTAGATACGGATTATTATTCAGTTTCAGCTTCAGTTTGTACAACCATTAACCATGCACTTTCGTGCGCCGGTTTTGATTGCTGTCTTTTGGCTGTCCATTTGGATGAACATTAGGAGAAAGACAGGAAAGGGTGAAAGTAGGGTCAAAAAGAAAATTGAGAATNATGTTGCAAAGAAATTGAGAAGATGCACGAACGCCACTGTTTACGACACTCAGTGTCTCTAACCATCGGGTGCGATCATCCCGAGGTCCCTCCCTATCCAGGGAACTTAACGGGACTTATGTGACCCATACTCCTGGTTAGGGTTTTCATGCCCTCATGTCAGGTCTTAGCTTGACCAACCTTGGCTTTCTTCCACCCACTACCCATCTCGGATTACTACTGGCTAATTGTAGTTATGCACTAACCTAAACGCTTGATCCGCATAGATTAAAATGACTGCGGAATGTGTTGTGCATGTCACCAGATAGGCCTGGTTGACGTTTGATATTTTCCGAGGCAGTTAGTGAGTGTAGGGAAGTCAATGGCTTTCCAGCTAATCGGTGATATGAGGTTGCAAAAATCTAAATCAGGGCGCTCTGGCCATACTGGTCACATTAAACTTGCCGACCCTGAATAACATGACTACGTACCGTGAACGGTTATTCTCCTGCCTCTGTTCACTTTAAGCACGAAACCAGTTTATTTGTTTTGAAATTATAAAAAAGTGTTTTTTTCTCTGTTCATCTTGCAGTTGCAGGGAATCTATTTTGATTTGCAAATAGTAATCCAGGTTACTCCAAGTACAGGGTCAATTTGGTGTGGGAGGGTGCAAATTGAAGTTAATATGAACGATTTATAACCATGACATTTATTTCTGTGTGTGATCACTTGATAGCTTCTGACTATCCGGATCGATCAGTCTGTTGAGCAGATGTGTTTGTTGAGGAGGGGGGGGGTAGGGGGAAAGTGCTTTCGGTTGTGAATGAATATTCGACAGCTTTCATCTTCTCTCACAGGTCTGACGTGCTCCAGTCAACCATACATACCTTCAGGAAGCACGAAACTTATGTTTCGTTCTTGTTAGAGCTCATCAGTGACCCTGCATACATCAATCCATCCTGGATTTGAACTTCGAATTCGTCTGAGGGAATACATGTGTCATCACTATGCGGCTCAGCTCACATTGAGCTATGAACGGAATTTTCGATTTCATACTCTCCAAGTATCAGCCAATTAGAACATTTGACCCGATAGAAAAGCGGAAGGGAGACCGAATACACTATGGATTGGTTGGACGAACTGAGGATTGTATGTGAATATGAGGTCTGAGGGATGGCTAGTCAAAACAACAATCAATTGCATTTCACCATCGAAAAGAAACAACAGGTTTTCATTTTTATTTCTATTCCAAACGGTAGGTCAGTATGCGTGGGGAATATATCCACCGGAAAGGAGAATCTGTGACGCTCAGTATCTATAAGCATCAACTGGGCTGATCTCAGGGTCCTCAACTGCAGAGTCTAAAGCGGATTGCTTGTCAAAACCTAATTGGCAGGTTTATCATACTGCCATGCCCGGGGTTTTTGTTTGACCACCTTTAATTTTCCTCGGAACATCAGATGCCTTCGAAAATATCACGCGTCATCTAATTCTTGACATGGATAGGTAACACATGCTCCAACACACATTCTATGGAGGTCAATCACTTGCTCTAGTTCACGATCGGGATTATCTAATACTCTTACTCATCCGGTTGACCAACCAGACTCGTGTAGTGCGACTTCAACAAAGTGGTGCTTAAACACTGACAGTCAATGTTTATTCTATTCCGGTAACGGTCTTGTCACGGGAGCATATCGCAGTGCCTGAACTACTTTTCTGTCGTATTAGGGCCAATGAGTCTGATCAATTATCAGTGGGTTGAATTTTGATTTATTTTTTTCTACCAGTTTACCTCAAAATGGAACAGTCGCTCAATACGCGAAATCAGCTGGATGAAACGCGACACAGTCAGCTGCTTTGGGGGCACGAAATTTGTGTATTGAATCATAATGGACCAGTACCAGTTGATTCACCAAAACCGAAACATTTTGCCCAGTAGAACATTCATCTGCGGTTCAGTTGCACTGTTGTCGGACGAAACTGTCTCAAATGGCAATTGGGGGATCACATCTCACAAGCGTGTCCACACACATACACAACCTCGTGAATCGTTTGTCGGTATGTTTGTGGTGGGGAAAGCCCGTCGCTTGGTGTTGACCTTCCGCTGCTCGTGGAAACCAAATCAGAATTGTCAGTCCTTGCAGGATGGACTAAACGGACGATAACAAAACACATTTGGTCTGACTGAACACGTCAGGTCGGATTTTCGGGTAACATGAGAAGAATCCTATCGTCTCGTACCTGACAAAGGGCACAGTAGATTGGTTCAACTATGAAACAATGCAAGGAGCGTTTTCTTCAAACCGAGAGAGGAACAACTGGTTTAAAGAAGAAGTCATTAACTACGGCGTAGTTGAGAAACAATATGAAATTACTTGTCCGCAAAAATCCAGCTCGGTTCAGTGAAAAACATGTTGCGGCTTTTTGCATACATGGTACATGAACGTTAAATAATCAAACAAATGGGTCACAAAGTGTCATACGTGTTCTGACAGAAATGTGGGTTTAAACCATTCCGCGAATTCCATGCATTTCGACCAATCCGATTCCTTCATCGCTACCCCGTGAACAAATTTGTATGAGTGCAGGGAGAGACGAGATATCCCTCGTTGTTGTATAGTTGAATAAATATGTGAGGGCTTCCGAGCTAACTTGCGAATGGACAACCGGCATTTTTTGCGCGATGGAAATGGCTGTGATAACCAACAAAGAGAACTGGACAGCTGTTTCGTCCTGTTTGGGACTCGTCAGCAGTGTGTACTTTTGTGGTCCTGTCAGGATTCGAACCGCGATTCTTCGGGCTGGGACTTCAAACCATTACCCTTGGGCTACAAGGTCAATGGTTATCACCTTGTGCTGGCAGGTTGAAGATACACGCATTTTCACATTATCTCTCAATTCCTCCGTTGTCACTGGTTCCTTCCTGGGCCTATTAGTCCTTTTCTGAATCGATCCGGTTCGAAGAAAACACACTTTACATTGTTTCACAGTTGAAGTGGCCGGTTTTATCTTTAGCGGATTGAGACGATTGAATTCGTTGCATGTCTCCCGAAAACTCAACCCTGATGCCTTGATTCCGACTAATTATATTTTGTCACCCTCCATCAGGTGCATTTTACAACAGCGAGTGACAACGGTGACTTGCTTTTCATGAGCAACGAAAATTCAACACAAAGCGGCTGGCTTTCCCTTCCACAAACACAAACGTTTCCAGATGATGTATGTGGACGGGCTTATGAGTTGCGATCACCCATTGCCATTTGAGACACACAGTTTCGTCGGGTAAAAGTACAAGTGAACTGCAGTTGAATGTTCTACTCAGCAGTGTGTTTTCGTCTTAGTGAATCACCTGGTTGATACAATTCAGTGCACATGTTCGTAATATTTACAAGTGATCTTTTGAGTTGAACTTCGCAAGGCTGAGTCATAGTCGGTTCCTTTTTGATTGTACCATATAAGATTGAATAGCCGCATTTATCTGTTTCAAACATCCCTTTTTCGCTATCACAATAGCTCTGTTGTTCTCATACCCTAAACCTGTGCCTCATTCCCCTCATATATGTTTCGAACACATGCTCGACCCGGATTAAACAAAGCCATTTCTGATTGATGGTTACAAATTCGATATGCGTTTGTACGTCTTGCTGACCTCGTGTGATCCATTGCGAATCTACGTGTTCCGGGACGGCCTGGTTCGATTCACCACCATTCCGTATGCGGAACCGAGTCAACGAAACATGCAAAATATGTACATGCATTTGACCAACTATGCTGTACAGAAACACAGCGAGGGATTTATTCGGGACGATGAGGAAGGCGGAACGAAACGACGCATCACCACACTGAACCGGTGGTTTGCACAGAACGGATACGATTTGAAAAAGGCAAGTGTGTGTTTTGCGCAAATCAGATCTGGTGTTTCAAACTGTCATAAACCTCTGCTCTATGGGTAGTGATTGTTTAGTGTGGTCAAAGAACAACAACAATAACTAATAATAATAATAATAATAATAATAATACCAGTGCTACTAGTACTACTACCACTATCAGGGGCTAAAAGAAAACAGCCTACGAATCAACAGCGATTTAAATTATACACTAGTCAGAATCATGGTCGGTATTCAGCAACTGCGGTAAGGACAATTAATTCTAATTTCAAGGAGGCAATTCGTCGTGAATTGAAAGTGAATCAAATCCTCCGACAACCTCATATAACAAGTATTCATTGTATGTGAAAGTTTCCAACGGAGTCATAACCCCGGAGGTTAGTGCTGAGAGGAGCCAGGCGCGATGCCCGCAACTAGATCGTAAATGTGGGTTGCACTATATCGTGTAAATGGAAAAAGAAAAGCGGTTTGATCATCTGTCCGAGTGGGTAGCATGCTTGCATTCTGCCTGTGAGGTCCCGGGTTCGGTTCCCAGTTAGGTCGATGAATTCGTACTGCTTATGAGACACATCCAGTTTCAGTTTGAACAATCATTAACCATGCAATTTCGTGCGCTGGTTTTGGTAGCTGTCTTTTTGCTGCCCATTTGGATGAATAATAGGAAAAGACAGGAAAGTTGAAGGTAGAGCCGAACATAAAATGGAGAAGTTCAGTGGTCTAAGATTGTAAAGAAATTGAGAAGATGCACGAACGCCACTGTTTACGACACCCAGCCATATCATTCGGTGTCTCTAACCATCGAGTACGATCATCCCGGGGTCCCCAGCCAGGGAGCTTAACGGGACCTATGTGACCCAGTCCCCTGGTCAGGGTTTTCATACTCTCGTGCCAGGTCTTAGCTTAGCCACCCTTGACATTCTTCCACCCACTAGTTGCCTCGGCGAACATCGCTCGTCGTGGCAACCTATCTGGTGACATGCATAACACATGCCCAAACCAACGTAATCTACGGAGGTCGAACACTTGCTCCAGTGGGGGGCCGCGGATATCCAAAACTCTGCGCCTAACCTCAGCATTGTTCGTACAATGCTGCGTAGGCAGTGGTGCTCAAACACTGACAGTCTATCTCTGTCCTGTTTTCTTAATGGCCAAGTTTCTGCGCCGCATGGCAGAACTGGCCGAACTGCCACACAGACAACCGGATGTCGCGACGGCGACACAGATGTCTCAAGTTGGCAGGTCGAAACAGCTGTATAGTGTTTCCTAGCTTTTCAATATGTATTGCATTGAGTTCTTTATTTGCTTTACACAGCCATGTTGTTATTACAATGAACCTTTGATACTGTTTGGTTCTTTGGTGGTGCATAAACGGCACAGATACATTGTTTTACTATTTTCAGAAAGGGGATCTACACCTTTTCCTATCAAGCTTTAACTAAAACTCCCAATCGTTTAGCCTCGACCCGTTTTGGCTACAGCTTGATGGGAAAAGGGGTAGTTGAACTTCCCCCTACCGAAATAACACTATAGTCTGCTCATAGGACAAGTCGGATGTATGCGGGATGTTCGTTTCCCAGGAATGACTAAAACAAGATGGCATTGATCTTAATAACTTTCGTGCACAAGTGAACCATATTCATTTGATGATGAGACATTCTAGATGAAGTGATTGATGATCGATCGGGGTGGTCTTGTCTACGATAAAATCTTTGAGTGAATTAAACCAGTCCCTCCACTTACAGATATCAATCGAAATAGACTAGCCATTATTGCATCGTGGTACGATTTACGATATTTCGATATCCACCAAGAAAAAACATGATGAATCCACAGGCAGTTCATTAATTTTTCCTGTTGCTTTTCATTAATTGTGATAGATTTGGGATGAGGTGGATGACGTAATAATCAAAACCGTTTTGTCTGGATACGCCGTGTTGCGGCACAACTACCGAACTTGTTTTCCAAATCACGCGCACACCTCCGCCTGTTTCGAAGTCCTCGGTTNTTCGACATAATGTTCAATCACAAATTGAAGCCTTATGTTCTTGAAGTAAGTTCCATTCATTCTTCCATTGTAATCCCCCTCCCCAACCCCCTATCCCTCATTTTGATAGAACGAACTTTAACCTGCTGTGACACAATAGGCGTCTGTCTATTGTGTTCACCGTCAGTTTCGGTTTTCACAACCGTTAACCACGTTTATCTATGCCACGGGCTAAGTTGCTGTCTTTTGGTCGCCTGTTTGAATGCAAGATTAGAGTAAAGATTGGAATGTTGAGAGCACAGTCAAAGAAAAGATAGGGAATTTCTATAGATTGGAGTGGCAAGAATAATGAATACATGCATTGTTAATTCCTTTTCTCCGGATGTTTGCATTAGCTCATTCGGTTTTTCACAGGCACCAGGCACTGTTGACGATGGTGAGTGATGGTTAGTTCACACAAGTTGATGACCGTGGACTGTGTAGCTCATGGGTAAGGGTTTGAAAACCTGACCCAAATGTTCGCAGCCCGAGTTCTGACAGGGACCCAAGAAGTACGGATTGCTGATGAGTCCCAAACAGGACGAAACAGCTGTACGGTGCCCTTTGTCGGTTATCACAAACATTTTGTTAATTCCTTTTCTGCGGAATTAGAATGGACTGCCTTCCCATGTTAAACCTGGCGACAATTGACGCACAGAGTCTCGATTCCAACGCAATGAAAACCAAGACTGTATAGTGATACGATACTAATAATACGAATCAATGAATGCCATGATAAATACTATACAAACCTTAATTCGTGCGGCAATTGGGTTAGGACAGTCGTCTTGGTACATCGAGATATAAGTGCGTCAAATTGGAGTATGACAGCACTCGGGTGTGTCGAAATTCACCTTACAATCGGAGTGTTTCAAAAGGAGACGGTTCAATGCTGTGTCAAAAAGAGAATCTATTCAAAGTTTACGCAGTCAGACCAAATAAGTCCAGTCAGGCAGTGACATGAAGCTCCCAAAGGATGAGCCAATCATAAGAGAGTTGGGCTCACACAATTCCACCTCTCAACAAACAACGTCAGGCGTGCGTGCATGTGTATCTGTGTGTACATGAACGGGTGACTCCCAAGGAGCCATCAGAACAGGTCACGTGTGTGGTTAAATAATCGATAAATGATAGGCGGTGAACTGGTATAGAACAACGATAGACGGAACATGGGTCAACCATTAATAAAGGACAATGTAGGTCACAAGAGTACTTGTGTGGTTGAAGTCATACGAGTGCACGGTGTGCGTGTGTCTGCATGTCCATCAATGAGTCAGAAACTAGGGCAACTAAGCACTCGCTTGGTTATGAAAGAAATCGACGACCAGAACGAAGCAAGGAGCGGTAGAGCGGGCAATGAGAGGACAGAACACTAAATGATTCTGAGGAAAGGAATCAAAATGCAGTCTGTTTTTCACCATTTGCAGCCTTAGGACTTATCCGGAATATTCTCATCCAGTAATCAAGCGAACGTAAGCCTCCATCAGAGAAATCACATTTAGACATTTACATTTTCTTAGAGTAAATTCGTCGTGTATAGCAAATGAAGCAAAAAGGCTGTTTCAATCTTTTTGGGTCTCATCAGCCGCGCGCTAATCCAACAGGGGATCGAACCCCGGACCTCACNCCCACTCGGCCATCGGGCAGCTGACCAGAGCGTTTTCCATTTACCATTTACATGATATATCACATTTACATTTTATGAATGTTCATTTAGATAGAACGGAAATATGATTGGTCAGTGAATTAGAGGCATGTTTGACTGAGTGGTTCGGTGTCTGTTAAAACGGAGCCAGAAAACGAACCCCAAAGAGACGGTTTGTATTCACGGCCATCTCCATAGAACTACCGCAAATATTCGGGTACAGGCGGTTTCACAAATTGCGTTAGATGTGCACTACCCCGTGTTGGTGCACTTCCTATTGGCGGTATGCGCATGGCCGCACTTGGATGTAATACGCACCTCCAACAATCGCTGTATCATGGATACTCGGGTTGCGGTATACACGCATCGGTAGTTGGTTGGGTAATCGCTGAAACCCGATGCGTTCAGCCAGACCGAGTGCGTTTTGTCATCGTCCGGCAAGTCCCGTTTGCAACGACTGACAGCTGTGACTTGTTTTTCACGAGCACCCAAAGGCCAACACAAAGTGACCGGCTTTTTCCACCACAAACATACAGACAGTTCAGGAAGGGTATTGTGAACGGACCGGTGAGTTGTGATCACCAGTTGCCGTTTGGCACAGTTTCATTACCTAAAAGTGCAAAAGAACCGCAGGGGAATGTTCTGTTCAACAGCATGTTTTGGGTTTATTGAATCACTCGGTATAGTCAGGGAACCCACTTGCTTCATACCGTGGATGCCATTGATCAATGTCAATGAAGTTTGTGCACAGGTTTCACGCACTTGCACATTCTCATGCGGTGTTGTGCTGGCTATGTCCCTTACATGCGCTTAGCAAGAGTCTCGTAGTTGAAGTGGTTTAGGCTGTGTTGGCAATCAGAGAGTTAATCGGGTGTTGATTGCGACGGACGGTTTATCTGCGAGGTTCGTGCACACTGTCAGCTGTTGGCTCCAGAGGTTACCAAGTGCATTGATAGCTTTTCTGGTTGTCTTTTGAATACATCGTCACCGAATTTCCTTGGGAAATTGTGTTCCTATAACCGAATAGTAGGTTTTTGTATATGTGACCGCACTAAGATGAGTGATAGAAACCAGATAAAATGATCGACGACTTTCGAAAAAATCCGCCATAGGTTTTGCTAGTTGCATTTCCAGTTGAACGTGATCTATACGTTAGGACGAAAAACTATCCCCAAAGTCAGCGCCATAATCAACGGCTCTTCATACTGAGGTACAGCTCTAGAAATTTCTTGGTACCCGTTTAGGTTATTTATTTGTAGTGTGTATTGAAAATTCTGGGTTTTGTTACCTCGTCAACTATCCAAATGATGGGTTTCTAGATAAAGTCTTCTGGCATTCCTTCCTAGGCTTCCTTTTGACTTGCGTTTGGGAATATCCCTCTTTATTCTTTTAATGAAAAAGTTTTCGGTCAGATTGAGATTTAGCAACTGCGTTTTTCCGAGAGAGATTCTTACACAATCCGCGAACGATGTTTTCGCTCTGAAGAACCCGTGTTTGAAAGTTAGGGATCCGAGGGAGCAGACAATTGTTCAGATCTGTGTGGTAACTAGCCTCGGTGACGTATCCTGTTAAGACCCGAAATATATTCCTTCTGCCTGTTCCAATTGGATGAAAACACCGGTTACACTTTCATCTGTGCGTTCATGTATATTAACTATTCTGTCACGATCTATCGTGGTTAACCTGGCCCCCTCAGTTCAGATCACCTGCTGACACACTTCTACACGTCACAGATACCGTTGCGTTGTCCACTGAAATCTCAGTNNNNTCTCATGAGTGTTCATAATAAGGCGACCCTTCTTTAGCGTCTTATGCTCAGTACAGTTTCAGTTTTTACAACTTTTCTGATTCTGTCTGAAGCCAGAAGCAGTAACCCTTATAGGTCGATACAAGGTGGAAACAACTGGTCTTCTCCATTCTCCACAGAACCGGATCCATTTTTCCAGTGATCTTTCATCATCAGCTGCTCTCGTTTACGATCGCCATCTTTCTCAAACCAGATAATCAAACAACTCGCAATCGTCACATCTAGGTGAGCAGTGCATACGAGCCACCGCCTTGGCTCTCCTCATCTACATATTTTTATGCATCGTCCAAATCGGCTCTCGCCAGCCCCTGTCTAAGATCCCTCTGACATCGTCGTGCTGCCAGAGCACTGGATAAAGTTGATGCCGGTTTCACTCTTTGGTGGTTCGGTACCCCGTGTTGTTCACGTTCACACATTGTGACCTTACTTATGGGACTGTCTTAGCTGATGGTGGCTGAGTGGTTATAGAAGCTATCGCTCCGGGCACATGTGGTCAAATCCCACCACCACAACTACCACCACCACCAGCAGTTCAGTTCAGTTTTTACAACTATTAACCATGCACTTTCGTGCGCCGGTTTTGGTTGCCCATTTGGATAAAATCGCATCACCACCACCCTTTGATTGGCCACTTCCCCTTACCCGAAAATTGTACCATCGCATTTTCGAGAAAAGGAAGTAAAAATGAAGAGAAAAAGGAAAAGGGGAGAAATGGCTGGTTTCGTTGACCTTTTCCGCACCCCGTAACATTACGGTGAGTTTTAGCAATTCCCCTGGAGCGATAAGTAATCAGTGGCTGACTGATGTGATCGGGTATCATAAACAGTGGTGTTCGTGCATCTACTTATCTACTACTCATTCTTGCAACCCTAGTCCATATGCATTCTCTATTATTCCCTTGAATTCGCTCTGGACATTCCAATCTTCATTCTGCTCTTTTATCCAAACAGGCAGCCAAAAGACAGCAAACCAAAGCCAATGCACAATAGTGTATAGTTAATGGTTGTAAACACTGAAACTCAGATGGGATGGAATAAAACCCGTGAATGTGAAATGATCAATTTGGTTTCTCTCTCTCTCTTGACTGAATTGTTTTTGTATC